TGTCCCATCACCTTTGTAACCTCCTCCTACTGTTGCTTCCTGCTGTGATTCTCATCTCTGCCTCTGCCAAACACACAGGGGCCCCTCAAATATTTGAGAAATGAGTGAGCAAGCTTCCTTTAAATGTTCTCTATACTGTCTCCACCAGAAAGTCACTCATTAATTTGGCTTCAAATACTATACTCCAACTACTTTATGTAGATGATTACCAAAAATATGAATCCACAAAAGTAACTAAAACCCTTGATTTCTCTTGCCTTGACTTCTTGGTCAAACTTCAGATGCCATTTCTAACTTCTACTGGGCATTTTCCATTGGCCTTTCTACTATCTTTTTTAAACTGAACTTACTCAATATCAACCACATAAATTTCTACTTATGTCTCTCCTAAACTGAATATTGTGTTTTTAAAGTCAACATTATTTCCCCTGCAAGTGTCTTCCTGTTTTTGACTCCACTAGGTTTGATGCTATAAGGCAGGTCTATAGAAATTAGTGCATTTATTGAATCCCTCTGCTCTGGGCTTTAGGGAGAAGCTGGAGTGAACAATGTTGCCTCTTTGTGAAGAGCTGGCCCCAGATTTAGCCTCCCTTCACAGTGAATAACTGGATGTGGTATGTTCCTTCATTTTCTCTTCCCATGCAGTCCTTCAACAAACAACTTGTACTTTGATGATCCTCTACATTCTACTACAATAGAACCTTCATAATAAGAAAGATTCAAAGAAAAGAAAATGATTCAGAGGAAATTAAAAAAAAAAAAACTAAACTAAATCCAAGACAAGGCCTCCATTGTCCTTGGGACATCTATTCTGCCTCTCAGCAATCCCACTCCCTAGTATTCTAAGTGTCCCTATCCTGCCTGCCAAAAAGAGACCATGAAAAAAATCCTCCCCCAAAAGATTTTATTTGACTTCCTATTTTTTTCCTTAGTTCTTGAGTTCATCTTGCCTTAGGTCATGAAGAATATGAATCTCATAAAACGAAGGACTCTGTATCCTTGGATCTGCAGGGCAATTATTCCCTTAATCAATACTTCACTCTCAATAAATGAATAGTTTACCTTGGCTTCACAGTTCAGCCAAGGCCGCCTGACTTAACTGCTTCTTCCTGAAAGGAATCAGATCTTACCCCTAACACATACACCCATAGGCTTCAAAACATTTCATAAAGTAAGTTGTCTCATTATTTCTTTCCATCCCAAATACTGAATCAATCCTTTTATCTTCTCTGGCCTCCTACCCAGCTCAAGGCTAGTTTCCGGATTTTTTCAAAGGCTTTCTCATAGTCTCCATGCCCCTAGTCTCTAACCTACTCCCAGACTATCCTAAATAAGATTGTCAGATTGACACTTGACTTTCTTGTCCCCAAGCCCTAATGTCTATAGTACAAAGTTTAAAATGTGAGTCCTAATATTTAATACACTTCAGAATATATTCCTAATGTACACTTCCTTCTCCACACACATCCTCATTCTCCTCTCTCCAATTGCCTCACTTTTTCCAAGCTTCTTCTCCATCTGTTCTTCCTTTTCTTCAAAGTCAAAAGACCCTCTTAGCCCTCAGCCCTAAGACTCCAGTGTTTCTTATATCCTGGAATCTGGAGAAACAACAGCATCTTGGTAACTAATCAGATATTACCTGATATTATAACTAATATTATATTATATTATAATATAATATAATATAATTATATTATTATTACTTTATTATAATCAGTATGAGAGTTGATTATAAAGGACTGAAATTAAGTTCCACAAACATCACTTAATCGATATCATTATTTCATACTATTAAACAGGAGTCAGAACTGATGACTGTGGGCAAGACATGGCTTCACACCAGCTTTATGTGGCAACAGAGCCTTGTTGCTTTACATTTGAATTTGAGGAATTCAAACAACCTGTGGGAGTGGGGAAGTAGGTGTCACCGTGCCCATTTCACTCCAGTTTCTACCACTCACCATTATTTCAAATCCTAGTGCATCGAAGAGTAACAAGTACTGCCTGATCCTGAAGACACTCAAGTTTGCAATATTTTTTTGAGAGTCACACTTGAATTATCTCATTGCTCTAGTAAGTCTGGAGACTTCCAGAGGTACCTGCTGTGTTGTACACCTCTAGCCTGACCTCTGCTACCCCACAGGTCCCAGTACTACACTAAGCATATAGTAGGAACTTGGTGAATACAAGTTCAGTGGACCCATGCAAGACTGTGGAATAGATTTGGTTGTCAGGGTTGGGAGATCGAATGACTCAATGGACAAAGAATGTCATCATGTGCCTGAGATGAACTTCCCTTACGCAATGCCAGATGAGCTTTCATGACCAGGAGTTCCCACCATGAATCCAGCACTTCCAGCAATAACACCTACTGCTTACGATCTGTTCCTGGAAGTCATCCCACTAAAACAGGTGTGGTATTTATCTCAGTTCAAAATACCAACTTAAGTGTCAGTTCCTGGAGGAAAAGGAACAGGGAGGTTTATTTTGAAGTGAGGGGGAAGGAGAACTTCCTAAAAATGCTATTTACAAACATAATCTTCCAATGACAGGAAATAGAAACAGAAAGCACCTCTTGTTGACCTAAGCAAGAAGTGGTTAACCTCATTCTAACAACTGTCAAAAGACTTTAGTTGCCCTGTCACTTTGACTGAAACTCGGAGTTTATGTTCTTCAAACCCTCAGCTAGAATTTCCAGGATGCCTCAGGGACAATAATGCCCATTGTGACAACCAGAAAGTGGTAGAGGTTTGGAAACAAGACAGACCAGGGCTTGAACTCTGACACTTGCTTTTAGTGAGCTTTCGTGTGTCCTTAGTGAGAAAATCTAGGAAATAGTGCTTTCTCCTCAGATAATTAAATGAGATGAGAATAAGAATAGCAAATACTTACTGAGTGCTAATTTTGTGCTAGGCACTGATTTAATGTGCTTTCAAAATGTGTCATCCACTTACAACAACATTATAAGGCAGATACTATTATTACCTCTGTTTTACACATCCAGATACCGAGACACAAAGAGTTCAATTATTTGCCCAAGGCCCTCGGCCTATAAATGGCAGGATTTAAATCCAGGTGCTATTGCTTCTCAGTCCTCAGTCTTCATACCTATAAGTGCCTAAAACAGAAAGATATGGAACACTTCCAAATTCACTCTATAATGCCAGTATCACCCTGATAACAGAACCAGAGAAGAACATTAAGAAAACTACAAACCAATATCCTTGATGAATACAGATGCAAAAATCCTCAATAAAATTTTAGTAAACTGTTATTGTATGTCTTGCTTAGCCTCAGTGTGTGTAGAGGGTAATTTTTTCCTATGTTCTTCCACAGAGGGGGCCAGGTCAAGGGCAACTTTGGGGTGTTTGAGAGAGGCACAGTCTTAGAAACCTTATTATCATCTACTTTTGGGGGACCTGGAATGCCAATAAAGAGATAGGATGAAAGTTCTCTCTCCCTTCCTCCCCCGATACTCCTGCACTCCTTCCCTCATTCCTCGGTTCAGCATCTCAGTTTTCCAAGTGCTCTACCACGTACTTTACATGAGTTACACAGAGTAAATGAGCTCCAGAAGGCAACTGTTATGGGTAAGTGAAAAGAGGTCATATTATACTATGGGCTTCAGAGCACTTTAAAAACAGAGATATGAAAACAAAGGGAAAAGAACATATAAAGATAGATAGATAGATAGACAGACAGACAGACCGACCGACCCAAGGGGGTATTTTTGGATCTGGGAATGCCTCACTCTGCTGAAGAGGCTTTGTCAACCCAGCCATCCTAAAAAGGACCCATCTGCACCAAGGAAGAGTTTCTGTCCTAACCATGTTCCTGTTTTGGCCAGATTCCCTAGTTCTGAAGGTGAAAGTAAGCATAGGCTCTTTCCCCTATAAAGTAATTTTATTGCCATAATGAAACACTCAGACCCAGTGTGGAGGACGGAAGGGTCTCAGACCAATAGAACAGAGGATTGCAGCTCTTGTCACTGTTGTCAGGATTCCCAGGACAAGGGAAGTGATGAGAGGGAATTTCCCCCAAGATCAGTGTTGTGGTTTGCATCTGAAATGAATGCTAAAGACTCAGGTTGTTGAAGGTTTGGTCTTTGATGCAACAATATTCAAAGCTGAGGCTTTGGAAAGTGATTCAATCATGATGTCATTAACCTCATCAATGGATTCATCCATTGATGAGTTCTAGCTGAATGGGCTATTAAGAGGTGAGGCCTAGGCAGAATAAGTAGGTCACTAGGGGCCTAACTTCGAAGGGTACATCTTGTCCCAAACCCCTCACTTGTTCTTTCTCCCTACTTTCCTGACTCCATGAGGTAAGCAGATCTGCTCCACAACACCCTCTCCGCCATAATGATCTGGCTCAACACAAGCCCATAGAATGGAGCCAGCTGACCATGAACTAAAATCTCTGAAACCTCAAGCCAAAATAAAGCTTTCCTCTTTTAAGTGGTTTGTCTCCCATATTTTGCCACTGCAACAGAAAGCTAACACAATCTGAAAGTTCCCAAGTAGTTCTTGGTTGGAACCCCTAATTAGGGAAGGGCCAGTAGTCCACTTGGAAATACTAGATTTGTTCATCATAGCATGGACTAGAGGGAATGTCCTACTCCTCAGAATGTCCATCAGAAAGATGAGAGGACCCTTTAAATGGAACTCATTGAGTGGTGTCATGGGTATGTTGAGAATAACATGGCATTCAGCAGGAGGTTGAACTCAAATACATAACACATCAAGCTTCTCACATTTTTCACTTAAAACTTCTTTTATGTCCTACATATCATTCACACTCTCATTTTTAAAAATCTCTTTTATAATACAGGCCCTATAAGCTTCAGCTAGCCTAGTGGCCATAAAGGTCTCATTGTACAGCAGCATGTACAATGATTTTCACCAAAATCTCATGAAATAAATTTGTAAATTATGGTCCAGGATTTGACAGATCTTCATTTGTGAAAGTCAAGAAATAAAATATAAACTGAAGCAAGAGAGGTGGGGATTCTTTTTTTATTGTGTTGAATTACACAGATCTTCACACAGCAATCCAAACCCCAATACATGACAAAATTATTCATGCTGTTACATAATCCAAAAGCAAAATATCTGAACCACAACCCTAGCCCTAAGATGACTCCTCAAAACAATGATTCTTTGAGAAATAAAAAGTTAAAATAAAAATAATATAAAAATAGAATTAACAGATCAGAAAGTGAGAAAAAAGGTATATTTAGTAAAAAATGACTTAATAAAAGCAAGCATTCAAGATCTTATTAAATTAAGAAGTTATGCACAAACTATTTTTGAAAAATGAACACTGAGTTTCATGTATTTTAAAATAACTAAAATGAGATATGAATTCATTAGGATTTATTTCCCTTAACTACTTATGTAAATGGACCTTTTCTGAGAACTGTACCATAATCTTTTTTGGGGGGGGTGGTGGTACAGGGGATTGAACTCAGGGGCACTTGACCACTGAGCCACATCCCCACCTCTATTTTGTATTTCATTTAGAGATAGGGTTCTCACTGAGTTGCTTAACACCTCACTTATGCTGAGGCTGGCTTTGAACTCACGACCCTCCTGCCTCAGCCTCCCAAGCCACTGGGATTACAGGTGTGTGCCTCTGAGTCCAGCATACCATAATCTTAATGTAACACAGTATTTTTTGAAATTTTGATGACTTCTTAAAGGTAATACCAAAATAACAAATTGATAAATGGTAGTTCCAAAAACATCAAGAACATTTATAAGTGCATGTAATTTAAGCCTGCTTTGTCCACTTCTAAAGGTGGAATGCTTATTAGAATATATGCTTTTAATTGACTAGAATTCTTTTTTAATTTATTTTTCAATATTTTATTTTTTAGTTGTAGTTGGACACAATCTTTGTTTTATGTATATCCTTTGTGTATTTTAGCATATTTTACCTTTAAAACAAATTTTGCACAATATGCTCAACTAAGAAGTTGAACATTGGTTTTTTTCTTTAAAAAAAAAAAAGGTAAGCATAATACCTAAGACTGAGTTTCATGCCATTATCATCTAACTACTGGGGGAAAAAAAAACCCTCTGAATTACAATAACCCATCTCAGCAAAATTTTCCAATTCAAATTAGAAGGGCTTCAGTTTACAAATATCTTTTAAAAGGGTAATATTAATGCAATTCACATCAGAATATCCAGTTAATACAATTAACAACAAACCACAATTTTGTTATATATTAGAACTTTCTACTGGTCTTTCAATTCCTTCAGCCTTCTGATTGCAGACCTGACCTTGATGGCAGATGTGGTGTTGTAGGTGCAGGCACCACCAACCACTGTTTTCATGCAGAAACCACAGTGCCCGATCCCCACAGCCTGTCTCTTCATCTTGGTTTTGCTACAGAATGAACAAGTGTACTTGGTGTGCTGGCTGATTTCAATTTTCCTCACCATTTTCTGGAGAGAGGCACCATAATGGGTCCCATATTTACCCACGATTCTGACTTTCTTGATGCGTTTAGCCATGTCGCATGACTAAGGCCTGAGCCGGGAAAGGACGATCTCTTTATTTTATTTATTTATTTTTATGTGATACTGAAGAGCGAACCCAGAATCTTGCATGTGCTAGGCAAGTACTCGACCACTAAGCCACAACCCCAGCTCCAACTGACTAGAATTCTGAGATGATGAGTTTTGTTTTTGTTTTGGGAGTTTCTTTTTCTACTTAATTTTGTTTTCCTAACAAACCAATTTTTGTGGTCATAATGAGAAAAGAAAACCTAGCTCTCTCTGTATTTTGTAAAAACTAAAAGAATTTTAGTATATTGTCTTTGTTCATTTGAGATACTATAACAAAATACCTAATACCAGGCAGCTTCTAAACATAACAAATTTACTTCTCACAGTTCTGGAGGCCAGGAAGTTCAAGGCCAAGGAATAAACAGATTTGGAAACTGGTTAAGGGCCCTCTTCTTGGTTTGTAGATATACCACCTCACTGCATCCTCACTTGTGGTGGAAGGGAGAAATGAGCTCCCTTGGGCCTAATTTTCTAGGATACTGATCCCATTCATGAGGGCTCTACCCTCATAACCTAATCACCTCCCCAAAAGCCCCACTTCCTAATACTTTCACCTTCCAGGGTAAGATTTCAACATTTGAGGACATACAAACATTCAGACCATACCAAGTATGACGGAAGAAGATGCCTAGGTTATAATATGAATAAAAAATGAAGATTTCCATTTTTCAGACCCCCTTTTCTCTGGGTCTGTGCCCATGAAAACAAATGGGCTTCTAATAACCCTTCCTCCCATCTGCTTCCTCTTCCTGCTCCCCCCAACTATGTAAGCATTTCATAAAGGCACCCTACTAATTAATTTAAAGTCTGGTTTTTGGCAGACCTTTCTGTGGAACCTATTTACTTAATGTAGTTCTTTTGGAGAAATGCTTGAGAAAGATTTTGATCTTCATCTAAATTTATTAAGAATTGCTAAGGGTGAAAAAAGGAAGGGATGGGAACAGAACAGTTTAAACCACAATCCAAAGAAACTGCCTCCTCTTACAAATTTATCATAGAAATTCAACCATTAAAACAAAAATGTGAATTTTTCCAGAAATAATTCTCTTTTCCTACATTTTAAGAGTACTTCATATAAATCAAGCCTAACATTAAAAACAACAATAGCAAAAAAATCAGATTTGCCAAAAGGAGAAAATCGGGTTGACAATTGTTTCCTGCAGGATTTATCAGGTTATTCCCCCAATTAGCAACTTCTGTTGCATATAAAATTTAAGAGGAAGGAAGGGAGAAAGGAAGGGAAAGAAAGAAGGAAGAAGGAAGAGGGAAGATAAGCTTTTCAAGAACACATTCACTGACAAAAATAAAGAATAGCTGAGAAAGCATCTTGACCTTTCTGTCAGAATCCTAACACGTGCTTTGCAAATGGAAAAGCACCTGCTACAACAAAACACAATGTTCCAGGTGACAAGAAAATGTGAGCCCCAAACAGCAAACATTTTAATCAATAATTCTTACCTGGGCAAAAAAGAATGAATACAGGGTTTGATATAAAGGGGATTAGACACCAGTAACTCAATAGAGACAACAAAGATCATTGTTCATTTCTCCAAGGATGTGCAGTTGTCTTGAGCAAGCTCTTCGTGATCCTCCAGCAGCCTTCATCATTTTCCCCTGTGAAATGTAAGACATCACATACTCCATCACTACAATCAACACAATCAAGGAGAAAAAGATTATTTCATACTATCCTTCTTGACATTTAGCTTTTCTCAGACTATGCCAATGAAAACAAATGAGGTCATTTGTTTTCTGAGCCTCTTTCCCCAAGATTCCCACCTGTGTGACCTTGGACAAGTTATTTGACCTCTTTGTAAAATATCAGGATGACAATACTTGGAGTATCTACCTCCTAGTATTATTGTGAGCGTTGTTACTAGTCGTGTGTGTGTGTGTAGCAAATGCTCGGAACAAACAAAATAACTGTTGAACTGTCCAACATATTCCAATCAACTGTATTCTACAGAGCAATCATTATTGAGCACAGAGGAGGTTAAGTATGGAAGTTGGGGGTGTTCCAAACTCCCCATCCTCAAGAACCTCGCAATCTATTGTAGAGATTCTTAATCCTAAATGTGCATCAGAATCTCCGAGAGACCTTAAAAAAATACCAGTGTTAGGCACCACCTATGCAGACTCAAATTAAATTAATTGTTCTGGAGTGAATGAGGCCCAGGCACTAAAATTTTTCAAAGTACTCCCAGTGATTCTAATGCTCATTCTTCAACTGCTGACACATTAGTTTGCTGCTGACTTGGGTGGGTAGCCACTGCCTGTGTGGTCTGTTAGTCTCTGACAGGACCGAAAGCTCCTAGGATGAAGAAAGTTACACCATTATCCATTGCTTCAATCCTCACAAATCACCAAATCCCTCAGAAACTGGTGACCAAGTCAGAGAGAGAGAGCTCTGAACAGTGGCATGGCTCAGCAGTGAAGGCAGAATTGCTTTCAGCTTGATTTCACAGAGGTGTTTGGGCCCCTATGAAAAAAAGTCAAATGGCCCCTACCCAGTGGAGACAGGTGAGATTAGATGCCATACCAGCTACTGTCTTAGGAACTAGAGGCAATGAGCTATGATAGGATCAGAAACCAGTACTTCAATTTTTTCAATTTGTGTCCTTTATCTTTTCTTGATGTATTTCCTTTTTGTTATTCTTCAATTTTTCAAAAAGTTCAGGGATACAATTCTTCCTAGTGTCTGAGGAAATCCAGGCCCAAGTTCCTCACTGACCGGCTGGAGGGATTACAAGAAACTTCAATCTCTCTCTCCCTGAGGGCAAGCCACAGGGTGGAATTTGGAATCACAGGTGGGCAAATGCTCACAGGGATAGAGAGTCCAGTGGGCCAGACCTATTGCAATTTGCTAAGTCTCCCCTTCCTGCACAGAAGGCAGAGGGCCTGACTTCATAGGGATCAGGAGTGTAACAGAGATGGCCTTGTAAACCCATCTCCAAAAATGGATTCTCAGAAAGTGTACCAGACATGGGCAGTTAGTTCACACATTGGTAAGGGATATGGAATAGAGGCAATCATGCCCTCCCTGTCCAAGAGAACTAGGGATTACCTGAAGAGTTCAGAGTTTTTATTGTTGTTGTTGTTATTTTTGTAGTAAAAGCCACCATTTTAAAGTATACAAGGGATAATCTGTTTTATGTCAAAAGTACAAGTCCCAAAACATCCAGAATAAGGAGGAAATAGATGTATTCCAATGTCTTCTACCCATTTCTTCCCTCTATCCTCTTTCTACCTGGCCAGGTAGTTGGACTCATCATTCTGGATTTAAGAATCCCTCATTTTTTTGTGGTTAAGAATCCACTTTTAGGTTTCCCTGAGATCTTGAAAGCCAGGAGAGGAAAAGCTGACTGACAGTGCTAATATGGAGAAGGGACAGGACAGATGCAATCAGGAGAGTCCTCGAGGAAGGTATCGACCGGAATACGTGGTGGGAATGCAGCACAGTGTGCCATATGCATCCTCTCTGGGATCTCGCTTCCCAACCCACAGGAGTGACGCTAGCTGTGCTATTGTGTCTACTTAACCTTGCTTGTTTGGATATTCCCTAGTTACACAGTGCTGCTCATATAAATGCCCTGTTTGCTTAAGACTAGCCAGAGTCACCCAGGTTTTTCACAAGAACCTCCCTAACATGATGACGCTCCAGGAGCCTGCCTCCCTAGGAATCCATAGCTCAAAAAGTGAAATGGATAACTATGAATGTAATGCATTCCACTACTGTCATGTAAGAAATAAATTTTAAAAATACAAAAAAAAAAGTGGAGTTAGTAAAAGGATAGAATGGGTAGTTTCCGGAAAACACTCATGAGCATATTCCAAACCCCAGGGGGGTGGTGACTCCTGATTTGTAGGAAATCCATTTTCCAAGATAGAATTTATAGATTTTTTCTTTTACCTCTTCTGAGTCCCCTCATATCAGTGTCCACTCCAGCTGGTTCAGGCTTTAGGTAACTTGATGTTACCCATGTTGAAATTCAAAGCAATTTGGCATTTGGTAATTATGTGGGCTATGTTCTGTGCAACAACCTAATAAAAGCCTAGATGACTGTTTTCATGACCAGAGATTAAGTGGCCTAGAATCCTTTAATCTACAAAGCAGAACGTTCTAATGTAGACAATTACTGAGCTGTCCTCCACATTCCTCTGTGATAAAGATGAGGAGACCTGGCCAGCCCTGGGGCAAGGTGAATTGAGACCTAAAGCAAAAAATGATCCCTTAAAGCAGACTTTCAGGAGCCTGACTATAGTGAAAATCTAGTAGGTTATCTCATACTCCTTTATTGTTTAAAAAGACTCAAATTATTTTGATGTGGCTAGAGTGAGAAATATATAATATAGCACAATAGGATCTTACTGGGAGACATCCAAGGGCAGTGTATGAAAACTCTGCTTGGGTATCAAAGGGCTCTTATTTATATACCTGCTGTCTTTCTTCCCAGAGTTCTTCTATCACACACTCTAGCTTTGTAATGGTTAAGAGGATGGTCTCTGAAGCCAGAATTCCCAAGTTCATATTGTCAGTTCCACCATTCACTAGATATGACACCTTGAGCAAGGTAGCTAAATCTCTCAGTGCCTCAGTTTACCTCTGTAAAACAGAACTAATAATAGTACCCATCTCATATGGTTGTTGTGAGAAGTAACTATCAATTCATTTAATACATGTGAAGTGTTTGGACCCATTCTTGGGATTTAGGAAGCATCTGATAAGGAAAAACTGAGACTTTGGTCAGCAGGATGGCAGAAGAGGAGTTCCCCAGCTTCACTCCCATCCACAGAAATAAGCTTTCAACTATCCGCAGGCAAGAATACCATTCTAAAAGTTAGAGCCATTATTATTCTGGGCCTGGTTCAGAAAGGAAAATATAAGAGAATACCTGAGAAATGATGAACAGCCCACAATGCGGCCAACTACTTTGCCACATATCTGAATTGAAATATGAGATAGAGTTACCTTATTTGACATTCACTTATAAGAAAGTTTACTAAGTAACCACCACAGTGGAGGACCAGATGATGTGAGAATAATGGCAGATAAGGGTGGCAAGACAGGTTCTTGTTTGGGACACACAGCCAGTATGTCCAATTGAAAAGTTAAATGGGATTCCCTGTGTTGCACAAAATGCTAAATTTAAAGTGGCAAGAGATACAGTCCTGGATATCATGAAGGTTTCATTCTAATAGAAGAGACTGACTTAAAACAATAATAAAAAACTGTGTTGCACTTAATGAAAGATAAGTGCACGGTGTTATAAAGGAGGGAGTGTCATGGAAAGTGATGAGAGCTGAAGGACAAACAGAAGTTACCCGGGCAGAGGCGGGAAGAATTCCAGATGGAGAAAGCAACAGTGCAAAGGCCCCTGGTTCAAGGAAAGGGACTGAAAGAAGCCCAGGGGTCTTTAGATAAAGACAGCAGGCGGGATAGGAGGCAAGAGAGCTGGCAGATACATGTACCATCATTCTTTACTGAGTTTTACTGGGTGAACGAAGAACATAGACCTTAGATCTCCTCCACATTTTCTGTCCACAACATTTTTTAGTTACTTCATTGTAGAAAACTTCAATTTTTTTCACAAAAGGATAATAAGTACTGAAGCTTCTTACTTACTTATGACAGCAGTTAAAAATATATCTCTTTATGCAGTGGGTATTTCGTTGGAGAGCAGACTGGTCTTTCAAGGTTATCATTTATTTCAAAGGTAGAATCTTCCTATAAAACA